GGCAACGAACCTTTGTGCACCGCCATCAACCATGGCGCCGCCATTGGGCACCTGCCCGCTGGATTGCCACGCGCAACTTCTGCGCCAAGTCGGCAGGGCAAACTGCGAGCAATGGGGGCGCCATATCCACAGAGGGCGGATGTAGGATACCGGTCGTCGTTCGCGTACTTCGGATGCTCCTGGGATGGAGCCTAAGCTGTGGGCGGCTGTACATGTATTCCCCCATCCTCCACGTAGGCCGATGGGGTACTCTGGGTCTGTCGGGCGAGCCACGATCGCCAGGTGCTCGATCAGCTTTTTGGGGGGGGGGCCGTCGTCCTTCGTCCACGTTTGTCGCTTGCGCGGGTGCTCAAGGAAACCGAGTTCACGGTCAAACTCTGCTGCGTACTGAAGATTATCCTGCAGAAGGTCGCTGTTGGCTGCCGCCAGGGAACGGTCGTCCGCGCACGCCTGGCCGCTGACTGGTTGCCAGGGCGCGAGGCTGAGGACTATCGCCGCAGGCGCATCACTGTCTCCTTGAGACAGGCCGCGTTCGTGTCTGATGAGTGGTGCTTCAGCACCTGAAACACTAGAATGTCGGGGACCTTTCCAAGCTGCCAACGATGTGAAAACACAAAAAAACGACAGAGTCGGGCGCCTCCGCTGCTCGTAATACTGCTTCCCCAATATGATGGTCAATGTTGCCATGTGCTCTCGTGAGGTCCAGCTCCGCTCCCGCATCCGTCTGACTCGCTTGCTCAAGCAAGGCCGAAGTCGCATGGACACAAGGGACGCCTCGCTTGCCTGCGCACTGACTGTCTTGGCCGCCGGGAAGACCTGCCGAGAGGGCTGTCAATCAGCAGAGCAAATTTATATTTCCAACACTTTTTGAGCGTACGCCACACCTCCAAGGGAAGATTATGTCCAGCACGTCCAGGTCGAACTGGCCACGCTGTTGTACACACCACTTGCTTGTTGCCACCCAGAGCGAGAGTAGAGTTCCTGGATGAGCGTCGGGAAGTTTCGCTCGATCATTTTCAACTCCTTGGATCTCCAGCCGTCGAAAATTGGGTTGCCATGGGAACGATCAACCACCACCGCGAAAATTTCCAAAAATGGGTTCTAATCTCTTGGTTTCGTGCCCTTTGGGAACATCATATTGCTCATTATCGTCAGCAACTACGTTCATCCGGAAAATACGCAGCCGAAGCACCAGTGTTACACTCGCGGTCGCCTGGCAGCTTCAATCAAGATCTGAGCGGGCGCGCGGGCGGGGCGAGGAGAAAGCGACGTATTCTTACCGCCTGCCGCGCCCGTGCCAAAACGTTGCTCGAACAACGAACAGAAGCCGAGCGTTCGCGGGCGCTCGCGGGCAGCGCGCTCCACGGCCAACCCCAGCGTCGCGCGCCCGCGCGGCGTCACGGTCCACGGTCGAGGCAAGCGTCCGCGAGAAATTTCGGCCAAACCCAGACCAAGCAAACGCAAGAAGGAACGCGAATCGAAAAAAACAACGGCGCAACGGGGACACTGGGGCCGCCCGGACCAGTGCAAAAAAAACACGCCACGGCGCCGACATAGGTACTGGCGCGATGCGCCGCGGGGCCCCGCAAACAAAAACAACACGGCAACTGACCGATCATCCCACGCCAGGGCGCAAAGGTCACGGAATCGCGCGGCGCACCGGCGGAAACGAGGCCGTCTGCCACAAGGGAGCACGAAGGGCCACGAAGTACTCGACCGCGCAACCGAGATCCAAGTCGAAACGGCTATGCCCTTCGACCCGAGATGGCTTACGCGGGGTCGTCGGCGATTTGGCGCTAGCCGCCCGTCGGGAACGCCCGACACATCAGCTGACGCCGCTGACGCCTTGCGCAGACGCCAGCACGAGGCGCGCGCGCCCCGAGAGGGGCGCGGAGGCCGGAGGGGAGGGGCAGGGGGGAAGAGGCCGGAGAATGGAGGAAGGATCCGGAGGACAAGGGAGGGCCCAGCGTACACCCGGGTAACCGGCGTGCCAGTGTGCACCCACCAAGCGCGCGGGCCAGTGTACACCTGGGGAACCGGGGAGCTAGTGTGCACCCAGGAAACGCGCGTGCCAGTGTCGACCCAGGGAGCCGGCGAGCCAGCGTGCACCCCTAGTCTTGTGGATGCCATGACAATGGACACTCTAACAACCCTATCATTGAATTAAAGATGTGCTTTAACTGTGTGAAACATGTTCTGAAAAGTTTCAAACATGATTTAACATGTTCAAAACATATTTGAAACATCTTTTAGACATCTGGAAATTATGTGGCAGCATGCTTCCTCTCCATTAATCGTCCTCCACAACCCTAGTCCAGACACGAGCGGCTCTGACAGAGTCGGCCTCCACCCCCCCTAATTATGGGGTGTGTCATTGGGGCAGCGAGGCCCGCCGGACTGGGTGTTCACTGGGACGGAATTTGCGAGGATGTCTCTGGCGAAACGCCAATGTGCACCCACAGGGAGATCCCAGTGTGCACCCGGTCGCGCGGCGAACCGACAGCAAAGTCGATGTCCAACGGCTGAGTTCACTACCGGAGAACCAGTGTGCACCTCGAGCGGGGGCGGCCCAATCAATGTACACAGACGAGGTCGAATCAGTAAGGGTGCACAGCAGCACCGTGCCAACATCGGGCCACGTTGCGTGGCCGGAGTGCTGGACCCGAATCGGATCAGGCCGGCCGACATCGACATCGAAGCGGCTGGAAATGGCCCCCCGCAAGCTTCCCGATCTGGCAGGCCCAGATGTTGACACCAACACCAAAATCGGCGGTGTGCCTCCACCGAGGGGAGTTGATCCCGATATCGGCGATGGTGGTACTACTCTGGCTGCCTGGGCGGCCGAAGTATTGCCACCAACACCGAAATCTATGAGCATCCTCCCCCAGTGGGCGCACCCCCCTGTTTTGGTGCTGGTGGCACTGTCGAAGCCTCCAACGATCCCTCGAGGGCGAGGCCCCGTCTCTGGAGGGCCCCACGACGGAGAGGAGGGGGAGAGACCACGACGGCCCCCGGCCCGGACACATGCCGCGCAGGGCACGGAGGTGGGAGCGGTCTTGAGGAGCGGGTGCGGGCGTGGGCGAGAGCCGCCTGTCTGATGCAGCAACTGGCTGCGGGACAGAAAGAGGAACAACTAATTTAGTATACAGTCGGGGCGTTGACCACAGGAACCATACATACATGAGGAACGAGGCCCCCTTTTTTCCCATAAGAGAAACTTCGACTTCCCGTCGAGAGCCTGAGGACAACCTGAGGCAAAGTGTGAAGCAATTAAGGGGCACGTAGCCCCTCCCCAGCGAAAAGGGCTCCTTCTTCAGCGCCCCGACTGTAAGCATGAACTTTGGTGGAGGTCTTCGCGTACAGTCGGGGCCCTGAAGAAGGAACCCTTTCGGTTGGGGAGGGGCTCCGCGTTCCTTAAGTGTTTCACAGCTTGCCTCAGGTTGTCCTTAGGTTTCCGATCGGAAATCGAAGTTCAACTTGTGGAAAAAAAGGGGCCTCGTTCCTCATTTAGGGTTCCTTAGGTCAACGCCCCGACTGTATTGCCTGGATCGGTGCCGGACCCCCCTCCCTGGCGAGCGAAGTGCGCCAGGCCACGCGTGGGGCGCCAGAGACGCCGCCGAGGTGCTCCAGCGCCGACCCGGAAGGCCCGCGAGGACCTCAGAAAGTTGTCTTCTGTTGAAGGGGCCCAAGGACACACAAATACATACACACAAATAAAAGGTTCCCCCATCTTTTCCCATATTTTCTGGGTTTCTGCCTTCCCCCCACTTCCCATACTTTCCCATACTTTCTGGGAGAATCGACGATGAATTGTGCCTGTGTGTTTTTTCCCTGCCTGATCTGTGTCATCATGTGGTCTGCGACGGGGGACAGGGCCCGTCCGCAGGGAATCGGGGAATCGGTTCGCGGTCCTCCCGCCCGAAACGTTCGTCGGAACGGGCCGCCGCGCCGGCATCTGTGCGTCGGGTCGGGCCAGGTGGGCGGCGGGAGCCGGCGCGGCCAGAGGCCGCGGCCGATGCGGCAGCTGGCTGTGCCACGACGGGTCGGGAGGGTGGGCTTCGACTTCGAACTGCTGGGCTGCTCGGATGCCTTCCAGAGAACGGTGCTTGACGGCGCGCAGAGGGGGCGGAGGGAGGGGGGGGGAGGCTTCGCCGAAGGAGGCTGCGTCTTAAAAGGCGCGGGCCCTGCATCTACAGAGCAAGCCCGCGCCGTCCAAGAAGCAGAGGTGCGTCTAAGAAGCCTTCCCCCTCCCCCTTAACCCCCCGGCGCGCGCCGCCGACCCTTCGTGGGAACGATACCATGGAACACGGAATCCTTGGTCTGGAAGCCGGCGGGACTCCAATCGTGGGTTGGCCCTGGATCTCACCGCCGCCCTCGTCAGATAAGGGATCCTCTGGGGGAAGCCTACTGGGCCCAGTTCTCAACGAACGCCCCAATCGCAGTACACCCAACTCAGGACCAGTGAACCGGACTGGGCCCAGGATCATACTGGAATGAGCCGCACTCTGCGGGATTGGGCGGGGCGAGACGGGACTAAGCTGGATAAGGCCAGTTTTCGACAACGGGCATATCGGCGGTAACGCTGAATCAAACCTCCCAGGAAACGCATCCTGAGATGCGCTGAGGACGATCCCAAGAACGGCGGGGCGCATCGGCTGGGAGCTCCTTGGCCAGGAAAATCGATCGGCCCTGCGGCGGCCAACAAATGTGAATCTGACCCACGCGACCTCTAGGAAGGTGACGGGCTCCAGCAGGAGGGAGGCACCCCCGCATCGGGGAGGTGAGGAGGAGTTTCGCTAGCTAAGAGAAGGAGACAAGGGATTGGACTGGACTGGAACTCTGTCAATCCAAGCAAGGCCACTCAACTGATCAAAAGCCTGGCGCAGAATGCGTGAAAGCGAAACTGTGACGCGATTGTGAGGCGCACTGCATGACACTACGCCTGTGTGCCACTCTAAATGGAGGAGACAGGGCAGGAGGAAGAGAAAGACCAGGATGGCCTGAACAGATCCGAACCACTCCCGGATGCACTGCTCTATCATGTTTCGGTCGTCCTCCACCGTGACTTTGGCGTCGCGCACGGTGAAGTTTGCAAGCTTGTCGTCCTCGCGGTCCATTCAACGATCGACCAGGTAACGAAGCTGTGCTAGAGCCTGCCCAAGTGGGTAAACAAATGGTGTCGGGGGATCACACCGCATCGCCGATGCATCGGCGAATCACCGGCGACGCTGGGGTGGGGCAAATTCCGGCTCTGGTTCGCGCCGCATCGCCAATGGACCCCATCTGGGAGGCCTAGATATGCGCCGCTCCGCATTTTGCTCAGGAAGAGGAGGGCGGAGGAGAAAGTGAGAAGGGAGAAAGCGAAAAGGGAAGAGGAAGATGAAAGAGGACGAGGAGGAGGGAGGAGGGAACGAGATGGGAGGAGAAGGAGGAGGAGGAGGAGGAGGAGGAGGAGGAGGAGGAGGAGGAGGAGGAGGAGGAGGAGGAGGAGGGGGAGGAGGAGGAGGAGGAGGAGGAGGAGGACGAGGAGGAGGAGGAGGAGGAGGAGGAGGAGGGGGGGGGGACGACGACGAGGACGAAGAGGAGGACTAGTGTAAACCCACGATTCATCGACGATGTTGGAACATACCCTCCCTACAAGCTCCCATTTCATACGCTCCCACAAGGGTTCATTTCCCACTCATGGAATTGTCCCATTGGGGGACAACCGTGTACAAATTCGGAAGCGTGCCAGAACACCGTTCCCAGGCCTTCAACGCCACGAGTGAACATGACAGCTAATTCTTGGCGATCCAGAGCCGTGCCCGAGCACAATTTGGGGGACTTTCAACATTGCAAATCAAAGTCACCGCTGCGCCCTGGCAATCCTGAACCGCTCCAAAACACGATTTCTGATACGTTAATCATGAGAACCAATGAAACTCTGGTGAGACGCACGTGCGCGGCGCCAGGGCGAAAACCACATTTGGAAACCTACCCGCCCTCATTTCGTGAAGCTCTGGGTCTACAAGGAATGCGCGCGGCGCTAAGGCGAGAATTACATTAGGAAAACGGCCCGCCCTCGATCCGTGAAGCTTTTGCATTTGTTACAGCAAATGCGCGCGGCGCTAGAGCGACAACGACATTTTGAAAAAAGGCCCGCCCTCCATCCGTGAACCGATTGCGTTTTTTACTGCGAGTGCGCGCGGCGCACAGGCCATAGCCACATTTGGAAACCGGTCCGCCCTCAACCCGTGAAACTCTTACGTCTGTTACAACGAGTGCGCGCGGCGCTGGGGTGAGAGTCACATGCTGACAGCAACCCGCCCTCCATCTCTGAAGCTGTTGCCAGTTTTTAGAGCTTCCGGCTCAAGGGTGGTCAAGACGTCTCAAGTAAAACGCTTGGCCCACCCTTTCGACCGACCTCGGGGTGCGACAGGGAAGAGCTGTCCATAAGGAAGTGGAGTTCAAGAGGAGGAGGAGGAATCGGAATCGGAACAGTTGCGAAGCAACATCCTTATATAAAACCCACCGCTCAAGCCATTGCTCGAGACAGGCTACTTGCACGACCCAACAGGCACGATACAAACAGCATGTGGGAGTGAAGAGCCCTCCGCTGCACGAACATTCCATTCGACACTGCTCTACACTGCGCGCCGACCCCGCGGCACGACGAGGAAGCCCGAGAACAGACCCAGACAGGAGCAATCCCTGCCCGCGACCCCAGGAGAAAGAGAGGGAAATAAAAAAGAAGAAGAAGAAGAAGAATAATAATAAGAAGAAGAGGGGAGACGGAGGAAAGGGAAGGGGTCGCGGCCAGGCATAGCCCCACCCGCGGGAACAGAACGTCCAGCGAGGCCCAGGGCCCCCCTGAGACACCCCGCGAGCCCCAGACGAGACGGCCCCTGACCAACCACCAGAAATTCGAGCCGCGCCCGAACGCCGCGGGGCTGCCCTTCACGACTGCGGGCACCCACCTGTGGGTGGCGATGCCGACGATGCACTCGGGAACGTTCCGCTGTCGCCTATGGCTGCCCAGTTGATCTGTGGGCCAGTCGGCACGGCGCCTCTCTGTGCTCCAGCGCCTCGAAGGAGGTCAGCATCCCGAAACAGCCGTGCTCGGGTTTCGCTCCTCTCCCAAGGCGCCGCAGCTGCGATCCCCCCGTCCTCGACCGTCGACTCCTGGAACGGCGGGCTGAACGGGACGAACTCCGACGCCGAGCTGCTGAGGGGTGTGGGCGCCGCCACCTGCGCTGCCGCCATCGCGGCCGCTGCGGCGGCGAACTTCTCAGCTGGCAGCTCCGCTGCACGGGCTTCAACCTCGGACGAGCTGGTGATCAGAGTGCCTCCAGCCTCGGCATCAGCTTCAGCCCTCTGGGAGGTGTCCTCGCGCGACATTGTGAACAAGAAGTCTCCATCCTCCGCCGCGGCTGCAACCGTGGGGCTCTCGGCTTCGTCAGCATGTGCTCCGCACCGATCGCCAGCCTGCGCCACGAGAAGCGCGTCCCGGAGGGCGGCCTGAAGCCGCGTGGGGCGGCAGCCGCGGTGCTCCATGCCGCTGAAGGCGCGCAGCAAAGCCTGAACGGCCCGAGCCTGCGCGCGGCCCGCCTGGGCACGCCGCTCAGCAGCCGTCCGGCGAGGGCGCTGCGGGCGCCCCTCCGTCGGGCACCATGGCGGCGCCACCATTCCGCGGCCCGGGGGGTGGAGACGAGGAGAGCGGACGAGAGGACGGGCAGCGGCCCAGGGGTCGCCTGGCGCGGGCTCGCTGACCCCGCCCAGGCGACGGCCAGATCCGAGCTGGCGCTTAGAGGAGGAGGAGGAAGAGGAGGAGGGGAATGAGGAAGAGGAGGAGGGAGGAAGGAGGAGGAGGAGGAGGGAGAGAGGGAGGGAGGAAGGAGGAGGAGCAGGAAGGAGGGGGGGGGAGGAAGAGGAGGGACATGAGAAGGAGGAGGGAGGAGGAGGAGGAGGAGGAGGAGGAGGAGGAGGAGGAGGAGGAGGAGGAGGAAGAGGAGGACGAAGAGGAGGGAAAAGGAGGAGAAGGAATCTGAGGGGGAAAAGGAGGAGGTTGGAGGAGGAGGGGGGGGAGGAGGAAGAGGAGGAGGAGCGACTCTGTCCAGCAGAAGGGAGGCGGGCCAGAAGCAGCAGCCGCGAGACGAGGGGCGAAGTCTAGAGTCCCATAGAGCAGCCGGCCGGGAAAGCGGAACGACCCGTGCGGTGGAGAGCAACAGCAACAGCTGAGGGGCAACGATAGGAAAGGGGGGGGGGCTGGCATATGGGGGGGGACGCATCGACCTGGAATCGGCGATACATCGGCGATAGATCGGCGATAGGCCCCCGATCGTGAATCCGCACCTCCCTGGGCAGGTTGGGGCTATCGGGCCCCTATCGGCGATCAATGGGCGATTGGGGATCGATGCTTCCCCCCAATGCCCATCCCCCCCTGTCGTTGCCCCCAAACAGCAGGAAGAGGAACAACGCAGCAGGGAGGGGAAGAAGACAGGCGCCAGGAAGGGCCAGCAGCAGCGGAGAAGACGGAAGCAAGAGAGCAGGAGAGCGGGACGAGGCAGCGGAGGGGGGCAGGAGGCCAGAAAACACGACAGCGAGCCTTCCTACCCACTACTCGGAGCCACTCATGTCGGAATCACCGTCCAGCACGCTCGAGTTTTGGAAGGCACCTCCGTAGAACATCCGGTCGTGGTATTCCGGATCAGGGTCCAGGTCGAGGTCGGCGATATTCGCGAGGCACGGGAATTCGTAGAGGAGCACCTTGAGAAAACCACGCACCTCGTGCAGGTATTCCGCCGCAGCCGTCGTGGTCTCGCCGATCAGGACGTCGTCGTGCAGGAACTCCAGGGGGAGCGAGTAATCGATGCATCCACGCGGCGAGGACGCCAAAGCATCGACTGCTGTCGCTAATGCGCAGACGCGATTTTCAAGAGTGGCCGCTGTAAGGTCGATCGCCTCGTCACGCATGCGTACTCGAAGCCATGACAACCTTAGTGACCATGCACGGGTCGACGGTATGCGATGTCTGCGTCGACCGGTCGCAAGTGTCACCAGCCTCAGCGACGTCGGAATTAATCGACGATGTTGAAGAGCTCAGAACCCCCCGAAGCACGTCGACCGCGCGCGGGGTTTGCTCGGAGACCACGTCGCCCGCAGAGCACGCGTGGCCATCCCGCCGAGCTGCTCCTGCAAGGAGGGCGCCGCGGGTCGTGGAAGCCCTGCACTTTGGGGCCGTGCGGGTGCCAGGCGACGTGGCAGGCGATGTCCACGTCCATGATGTGCTTCCTCAGCTTGTCGGGACTGAGCCCGCGCTTGAGAGCAAGCCTGGCCAACTGCGTGGTGCAATCAATGCGCGTGCACGTCCCACACCTTGAGGTGGATCTGCCCATGAGGGTGGACAAGAAGGAGATACCGGTCGCTTTCCACTGCCATGGCAAGGGGCGACAGAGAAACAGACACAAAATTGGCAGCCAATCGGCCTTGCCTCCTTGAGCCCAACTGGCTACGGAAGAGGACGACGAGGAGGAGGAGGAGGAGGAGGGGGAGGAGGAGGAGGAGGAGGAGGAGGAGGATTAGGAGGAGGACGAGGAGGAGGAAGCGAGGGGGAGGATGACGAGGGGGAGGATGACGAGGGGGAGGATGAGGATTCTCCCGCTCGCGCGCTAGCGAGCTGTCTCCGAGCGCGGCCGCGGCTCGCGCGCGCGGGGCGGCCCAAAATGGGCAGGCCCGTCCCGCGCGCTCGTGCCGGGGCGCCGCGCGTCAGGCGGGGGAGACCGCCTGCTCGCCGACGACGGCGAGGCAGCGCCCATCAGCCTTAGATTGGGAGAGGAGGGAGGGGGGCAGAGAAGCTGCGGAGACAGCAGGAGCTTGCTCACAGAGAATAGAAGAGGCATTCTCCCGCTCGCGCGCTAGCGAGCTGTCTCCGAGCGCGGCCGCGGCTCGCGCGCGCGGGGCGGCCCAAAATGGGCAGGCCCGTCCCGCGCGCTCGTGCCGGGGCGCCGCGCGTCAGGCGGGGGAGACCGCCTGCTCGCCGACGACGGCGAGGCAGCCATACCCGTGCTCAAGGACCTTGCGAAGTGACAAGGTTTCGGCGGGCGGCCGCAAGTAGGGCAGGCCAAGCGGCGGGGCCGACTTGGAGAAATGAAGCGACAAGGCGGTCGCTGGCGGTGGCGAAGAACAGGATCCGCGCCCGTGCGGGCACGGGCAGCGCAGCAAGAACTGTGGAAGCGGCGGCGGCTTGCAGGTAGCGCTCAGCACTGGAAGCCTGACGCCAACGCCCCCGCCAGAAGACGCGAGGGACGTCTTCCGTAGCGATATAGAAGTCTGTTGCGCCAGAGCCCCGCAGACATGCGGGCGTCAGGTTGAGCCCCTGACCCGCTTTGGCAAGAGGGACGCCCAGGGCCGAAAGCAAATGATTCCACCGAGTACGGAAGCCGCTCGCACCGAAAGGGGCGAGAGGATCGGTGGAAGCCAACCGCCCAAACACTTGATTCAGAATCTTCACCGTGCCCCGATCGGAGCAGCGAGCATGCTGCGTCGGGTACGTTCTCCTGGTCTTTGGAACAAGAATCGAAAGAAAAGCATCCCCTTCAACTTCGAGGCGGTCGCAAGGAAGCGACAAGTCACAGCGGCGTGACGCCAGCAGCTCGCCAGGCCTGAGGAACATCGTAAAGCCCATGAGCAGCAAGGCCGCCATCACAGGCCAGTCCCAGGCGAAACAGAGACCGACCATAGCGCGCAGCAGAGCGCGAGGTAAGGGCGGGCGGAGCTTTGGCGGCTCCGCGAGCTTCCATTGTTTCGCTACGTCCCAAGCTTCTGTTAGAAAGGCCTTCCAATGCGGATGAGCGCTCTGGATTCCCAAGATGGCATGAACCAGAATATAATGAGGGAAACCTGCATCATGAAGCCACACGCCGAAGGTCGCGAGGAAGCGGGCGAGAAGTAGCCCGCTACGGTAAAGAGTGGCGGGCGGCACGCCAGTGTGTTCTGCTAACCACAGTTCGAACGCATCAATCGATCTCGAGCGACGATCGAGATACGCGGAGGTGAGGTGAGAATCGCGCACGAAGGGAGTGCGCGGAGGGCGAGCGGGCGCAGAAGGCGCAGCCCGACTAAGCCCTTGGCCTGCGGTCGGCGCCGCGGCTCCCAGAGAGATGCAGAGGCCGCAGACGCACCACAGGATGAGCGCAGGGCGGCCAGGGCTGGGAGAGCTGATCAGCGTGGCGGCCCTCCTGCTCCTGGACGCGTAGAAGGGCGGAACGAGGGTGTCCCGCCCGTCGGTCTCGAACCCCGACGCCTCCGCCAGCATCGCCCGCGCCGAGGTGAAGGATCCGCCCATGTTACGGTGAGCACGGCGAGCCCCTGCTTCGATGTCGGCGGGCAGAGCGCCCCCTCCCTCGAGGGTCGCCCAGTCAAAGGGCGGGCGCGGCTCGGCGCGCGCAGCTGCGGCCGATTCGGCGAGCTCGGAACGAGCTGCCGAGGACGTGAGGCCCGAATGATGTGGAACGGGCACCACCTCCGCGAACGCGTCGAGGATCTCGGACGGAGGGGAATGAGATCCCCACAGCGCTGCTGGGATGGCGCCGTGACCGTCCTGCACGTGGTACAGAAGGTCGAAAAGGCAGGCCAACTTGCCCGCGCGCCTCCTGTGCTCGATCTTTGAGCCGAGCCCGATGCCACGGATGGCGCCCGCCCCCATGGCTTGGAGGTCAGCGCCCGCGGGGATAGCCTCGGGCTCGACGGCGGCCACGTAAGGATGCAACCACGAGGCTTCGTCGATCGGCTCGGCGCCGCCTGTCTGAAACAGGCGCTTATAGGCGTGCAAGGCCTGCAGGAGGCAGTGCAGGTCATCTCTGCCTTCGGGCTCGGCGGCCCCTGCGGGTGCGAAAGACCTCAGCCACGACGCCGCGCTCTGGAAGGCAGCTTGCCAAGCGGGCCCCCACCTCACCACTGTGACCTTCTCACCGCCGAGGTTGAGACGCCACGCTAGGGCGGTGGCGGCCCCTGGAGGCAAGGGCTGCTCAACGGCCGCGGAGGCCGTGCGCCGCGCTGCGAAGGCTGCAGCCGCGGCGCTCCCAGCGTCGCCGCTGTGGGAGGCCGCTGGGATGCAGCTCGTGCCCTGAATCTCGGCCAGGCGCGGGGCCGCTCGAAGACCCCCTTTCCTCGGCGGCACGCCCTCCGCCCTGCGGGGCCGCAACAGCATCGCTGGAGGAGCGCGTGCCTACCGAAGACGGAGGGGCCTGAGCAGCGGAGTCCGCGCGGGAGCTGCCTGCGTGGGCGTCGCCCGAGCTCGCATCATGGCGGGACGTGGCTGGCCGCTGCGCAGTAGCGGGGCTCGGGCGCCGCTTCGGAGCGACTCGAGGGGAGCGCACCTCGCGACGCCGAGGCGACGTCGCCTGACGCGAAGGCGCGCGAGAGGAGCCGCGCGCGACGGCCCGACTAAGCCCCTGGCCTGCGGTCGACGCGCGGGATCGCGACGCCGCACGCCCACCAGAGTGGTGAGGGGGCGGCGGCGGCGGCGGGGGCACGGGCCGCGGAGTCTCGGAGCCTAGACGCGTGCCGCGGCCCCGAGAGCGACTGCGAGCCGAGGCCCGAGCGGCGGGCGGAGAGGCCCCCGAGCGGCGAGGGAAAGCCGCCTGCAGGCGGCGGAGGACCTCGGGGTTCAGGCCCGCTACGACGCGCTCGAGGTCCATCGAGGAGTCTGCGAGGGCACTCAGCACGACGTCCTCGAGCTCCGTCGGAGAGTCCTCGTCGCACGCGGGCTCCGCTCTCGAGCGGCTGCGAACGCTCGCGGGCGGGGA